AGGTTAAATCCTAACAAAAATGCAAGACATTTTTATGTTAACAACATGTCTCCTGAAATGCAATAAAGCAACCATGAGATTATAATGCAATTTGAAAGAATTCCCAACATGTGTAGTAATTGATTCCACCGTGATTGATTAAAATTTGATACTTTGTTCCAAAATGACTTCATAACTGGCTTGAATAGAATAACCATTGAGAAATCCTGATAGATTATTTTTAAATATTGTCACAGTTTACGTCAAGTATAATTTTTCTAAAGAGAGTACTATATAGAATTTGGAGTTTCCTGTCTTTCTCCATAACAAATTCTGTTTTGGGTCTTCATTCACTGAGTTCTCACTGAAGTTTCAGTTCTGTGGGCAATATCATATTCTTGTTTCCTTTAACATTTATAGTGATCATTGCATTCTTCCTTTGAGAGGTAGGCATTGAAAGGATCCTAGAGGAAAAGCCTGTCTGATCTAGGGCCTTTTCGTTTTCTGTTACTTTCAGTGAAATTATATTAAATATTTAGAAAAAAACAGCAATTTAACTTGGTTTAGATATGATATTTTGTTATAACCTCCAGCAGAATGGGTTTTAAGCGGGGTTCCCAGTTCCTGTGCAGTAAGATTCAATGAGGAGGCTCAGTCGTAAAGGTACTATTTTTTTGACCTCTGCAGATAAGACTATCAGATGTGATGTTATAGCATTGAGTTGTTTTTTAAAAAATAATTTCCATTAATTTAGAGTGACCCCGTCAACCCAGACCAACACTATTCTAATTTCTCTGCCTAGAAAACTTCAGTGTTCTTTTTCTCTGTGTTTCCTTTTCTGTTTCTTCTTCCCACAATCTTTAAGTACCTGCTACTTATGAAGAAATACATTTTTGAGACATAGAACAACACACTTTATTTTTTTTTAAAAAAGCAACCTTACATTGAACAAAAGATGCCAGATACCATAGACTTTAAGTGTAGGAAATTTCTCTTTAAATTATTATTTTAATTGTACAAATTTATGCAGTATGGAGTGGTAATCTGGTAGATGTATATAGAGTAGAATTATCAAAATCAGATAGTAAGCATTTCTATCTCTTTAAACTTCTTAAATATTTTGATTAACTTAATGATTACACATATTTTTGGAGTACAATGTGATATGTATAAATATGTATACAAGTGCATGTATATAACATGTACTGATCAAATTGGGGTAATTAGTATATCTTTCTTATCATTAACAAGTGTACGAAATTTTAAAGGTAACACTAATATATAGCTGGGTGTGGTGGCTCATGCCTGTAATCCCAGCAGCTCGGGAACCTGAGTCAGGAGGATCATGAGTTCAAAGCCAGCCTCAGCAATTTAGCAAGGCCCTAAGCAATTCAGTGAGCTCCCATCTCTAAATAAAATGCAAAATAGGACTGAGGATGTGGCTCAGTGGTCGTATGCCCCTGAATTCAGTCCCTGGTTCCGTCCTCCCCCCCCCCCAAAAAAAGAAACTAGTATACAGTTATAAGAATATATCAATCACAAATATATAGAAAATCTCCTTGGGGCTGGAGATGTAGCTCAGTGGTAGAGTGCTTGCCGAGCACATGCAAGGACCTGGGTTCAACCCTCACACCACCAAAAGGTTAAAAGGAAAATTTCTGCTGTCGTGTCATTTTGCCCAATTAAATCAAGGAGATGAGAGATCAGTCTTCCAACATACGAGTCTCTGGCTTAAAAATAAGTAGCAAAGCCCAAATGCTAAAAGGGCTGATAACAGAGAGAGGCTTATCTTCCTCTCAGTGATGGGATGACTCAGCACTGGAGCCAAGCCACAGCTGGGTTTCATTCAGTCCATCTGGTGGTATTTGTTTTCTTAATTAGTTGTTTTCCAACATTTAGAAATTGAGAGATTTCACATGAACATAAACATGAATTTTCAAGCTTCTCTTGGAAAGACCAGAATCTCAAGCACCCTGAAGCCTGCTTCCTCTGTTCGCAGCAATGAGCTGAGGTGCGTGGGCACACTGAGTGCTCTGCCCCCTCCGCTTCTCTGACCTCTTCAGGTGGCCAGGCTTCTTGCTTTTACTTAATGGCATCTGAGTTAATGATTCCTGCAATGTACTCATCTCAGACATCAGGGCTGGTCCTGTTTCCTTTTCAAATGTGTTCTTTCACTTTTCCTCCTGTGCCTTGTTACCACCATCTTGGAGAAGGCCCCTGTTGCTGTACAGTGAGCAGCCAGAGAGACCTCCAGGGTTCCCTCCTGTCCATCTCTCCCCATCAGTACAACATGCAAACATTGCCAGTAGGTGGCATCCCAGGGGGCAAAGGACAGTAAGAGGAGAGGCAGGGTCATGGCAAGATCAGGAGTTCAAAGCAGTTACCACAAATTAGACGCTTAAAACCAGAGGAAAGGGGTCAGTCAAAAACCATCAGAATGTGTTTTCAGAAGTGATGGGTGAGTAAAAACCAGGAAGCCAGGGACAAGGTTGAACTAAAAAGAAGGGTGCAAGTGTGGCCAATAAGCACACAAAAAGATGCTCAGTATCACCAAACATCAGGAAAATTAAAACTAAGAACCACAATAAGATACACTGCATATCCACTGAGATGACTAAAATTACAAAGACTGACAATACCACTCAATTGGGAGCAACTAGAATTCTCATATGCGGCCAGCCAGAATGTAAAAAAGGACTAATGCTTTGGAAAATAGTTTGGTAGTTTCCTATAAACACACATTTACTCAAGGAATGAAGACATGAATTCATGAAAACCCAGGGGTATGAATGTCCACAGAAACTTTAGCCACAGTAGCCCCCAATAGGAAGTAATCCAAATGTCCATCTATAGGTGAATGGAAAACAAATTCTGGTGTGCCCATGCAATACAGCATCACTCTGCAATAAAAATGGAACGTACTTCTGAAACACCAACCAATACATATGTTGTTGTCAGAAAATTACACTGAGCAAAAGAAGCCAGAGAGTGTGTGACTCACAAATGTATAAAATTTTAGAAACAAAACAAATCTTGAGTTATAGAAAATAAATCCACGATGCCATGTGGTCAAAAGTGAGGGGAAAGTGACTGCAGGAAGCAGAAGGAAAATTTGTGGGTGTTGAAAATATTTCTGGGTCTTTATAGTGATACTGATCGCATAGGTGTATGTAGTTGTCAGACTCATAGAACTGCATATTTAAAACACATGCTTATTATTGCATGTAAATTTTACCTTAGTGAAGTTGACTAATTTTTAAAAAATATTTTTACAAAAAATAAGAGAAATGAACAAACAGAACAGAAAACAAAGCAGAGGTGAGCCATATAGGCATAATATATTACAAACAAAGACATGAAAGTACTGACCTGAGGCCCAGATAGATGCCTGGGGACCCTTGTAGCTGTCGTAAGTAACTTTCTTTGCCCAGAGTTGCTCATACAAGTAACTGCTGTGTGCAGCTTGCCTTGAAGTCACTTTGCATCTTTTCTCAGTTTATCTTCCATTTTCTCTTCATGGTTTCCTGTCACATAAAACCCATCTACTTTATTTTTTAAATAAAGTTTTATTGGAACACAGTCACACTTTTTTTTTTAACACATTGTCTGTTTTCATGCCACAATGACAGGGTTGAGTATTTGCAACAGAGACTACACAACCCACAGAGCCTAAAAGATTTATTATCTGTCATTTTACAGAAAATAATTGAAATCCTTAATATAAAGCAAATTATTATCATTATTATTTTTTGGTACTGGGATTGAACCCAGGGATCCCAGGATACTTAACCCCTGAGCCACATCCCCAGCTCTTTTTATATTTTATTTAGAGACAAAGTCTCACTAAGTTGATGAGGTTGGCTTTGAACTTATGATCCTACGGCCTCAGCCTCCAGAGTTGCTGGGATTCCAGGTGTGTGCCGCTGTGCCCATCCTAGGCTCCCAACCCTAATCATACAGACCACCTCATTGCCACTGTCAGTCCTTGTGCATTCTTTCATGCTGGTGACTGGTTTGTCCCCCATAACATGAAATGGCTTTCTTCTCTACTGTCTTCCAATTTCTACACCTAATTCAATTTTTGTTTCTTCCTTGAAGTTATCTCTCGACTGCTTCTTCCCTATTTTAACAAATTTTTAATGAGTTAATGTCATGTAGTAAAGTTACTTTCCAGTTGAATTGCTTCTACCTATTACTAATCTAGATGCTAGTTAAAGAATTATTTCTCCTCTTTATACTCCTTTGACCTTCTTTCCCACTCCCACCCAATGATCAAGACACTGTGTGAAAATATGTTTTCAATCTGTCTACCTGGTCCATCTTCCCTCCCACAGTCATGGGTCTTTGTCTTTTGCTAGGACTATTGTAATATTATCTTACACTGTCTCTGCTCCATTTTTTTTCTCTTCTTTCCTATGTTCTTCAGCCAGCAGTCAAATGTTATTTTTTAAAATAAATTTCGTTGTTTCATTCCATTCCTTAGACTGCTTTTATGACTTCCCAATGAACTGAGAAAAAGACACTCTCCTTGCTGATGCTGCCGTGTCCTCTCTAGGCCTCTTCCCTGAGCCCTGGTGCTGTACCAGTCCTTTCCCAGATCACCACTTCTGTACTGGTTATTCCTCCTCCTCGAATCCTCTCTGCCAGTTACCATGGCCCTTCATCCTCACTCTGCCTCACTCCAGGAAAGAAGTGCTCCTGTCACATAACCTTACTTCTCTTTCCAGGGAAAGTAGCAGAGTCTAAGATTTACCTTGATTACATCTTTGTTTAGTGATTTACTGTGTTTCCTTCCTCTAGTTAATAACCACCACATGAAGAGAGATCTACTCTATCTTGCTTGCCTCTGTATCCCCAGTACTTAGCATGGATTCTGACATATGAAGACGCTTCCTGAGTAATTGTTGAATTAATGAACAGTGAAAACATAATAGTTATTACTCAAGTGTTTGCTCTTCTTCTTTTTTCCCATGAAATATTATTTTCCTAAAGATGCCCTTTTTTTAACCTTATGTTTACAGGTACTTCTATCCTGACTGTGAAAGCTTTTGCTTCCGACTCAATTCAGGATGGTATTAAATACTCAATTTTTAGTGGAAATGAAGATGGAGTTTGTTCCCTGGGCTCCAATTCAGGTAATCCTTCTCTACCATAATATAGCTTTATTTGCTGTTCCATTTAATGTTACTAGTCTACAAAATTTTCAAGGCAAAATTTTAAAAGTTAGCAGGAAATTTTTATAGTAGCCAATGAGAAACTACCGGGAAATTCAGAACTATCTGTGTGTTTGTTTATGTATAGTCACTAAGAATTCTATTTCAACATTTCCAAATTAGCATTTATCCTGTCCTTTGGATTTTTGAAGATGAATTGGTTTCTACTTATAATTTCCTAACCTGTTTGGGAAAATTGGAGATAGAGAGTGGAGATCAATGATACTGAATTTGAATTGAAAATAAGCACACATGTCTGGCCCTAGGGAATTTTCATCAGAGATTCTTCTAATTCGCCACTGAATGTCAACAATGCAACAAGAAAGGACAGCTGGAAAAGTTTCTATGTGGTGGTAAAGAAATTACTTCCAAATACAGCATGTATTAAATTTAGCTTTAATACGACCATTATTGTGTTTTAAATGAATACCAATTGATTATTTGAAACATACTTTTTTGACTAACAGCTATGCAGTAGATGTATATCTATTGCTTCATTGTCAAACCTCAAGAAGAATGGTTTTAATAATTTCTATATTACCATACAACTGCCTTATTTAATCTGTAATACATGCACACGGGAAAAATTGGGAGGGCATAATTTCTTAGAGAAAAGCCTTTATGGTGGCTAGGGCTGGTGTTATGGCTTTTTGGTCCATGCAGCTGGGTCAGCAGCCTTTCTGAGGCAGTCTGCTGGAAATTTCCATCCCTTCACCACCCATGGCAGACTGGAAGAATGACAAAGGAAACCTGTTGGCAAAAGGTGCTTTCAAACACCACCGACCCATGAGCTTTCCCGACCTGGTGTCTTAGATCTCTGGGGAAAGAGCTGAGATTAAACTGTTAATGAAAAGAGGAGAATAATAGAGATTCCATGTTATCCCAGACTATCCGGATCTTTCTATCATGTCCCTCCTGATGTGGCCCACGCATGACCTTCCCCCGACCACTGGATTACATTATTAAAAGGCAGATAAAATTTACCTAGAGTCAGAACAAGGAGGTCACCCACAGAAATCTACTTTTTGATTAGTTATGTTGAAATTTATGTAAGCATTTTTGAAATATCTATATGATAATACATTAAAATTTATAAAATACCTAATGGACAATAGAAATATAAAAGCCCATGTGTTTGTTGTCTGTCTCCAGAAATAAGACATTACTAGAACTTTAGGAAGACACTGTGTATCTCTCCTCCTTTCCTCCCTCTTCCCATTTTCTGCTGCTTAGAAGTATGAATGCATATTGGAATGGCTAAATCGAGTTAATTAGCATATTGTTGCATATGCTAAAGAGCCTCAGGCTCCCTTCTTCCACTCCAGAGGTATCAGTAACCTGAATTGGATATTGATAACTGAGTTTGTTTTCAATGTTATAATTTTCCACTGTGTTCAAATTTCTAAATAGTGTTATTTTCTTTGACCTTCATTTAAACACCATCTCAGAAATGCTGTGGGCCCTTTTGCTCAACATTTTTACTGACTTAAGGTGCATAAGCCACCCCCTGTTTAAGAGAAATAGCAAAGAAGGAAATGTACCTGTTTGCATATCTTTTGTTAGGTCTGCCTTAAATATTTTGTACTTTTTCTTGCTGAAGTAAATTAAATTTTTTTTCTGACCATGTTGGTATGTATGTTTGAAGTTAACTTTTGTGTTTTGAGTTTGTACCAAGCAAGTTTGCAAACTCACTGATTCTGACATTTTTCTGTACATTGTATATACACAATCAGTTTCTGAAAATGTCTTCCCCTATGTTTTTTTCCCCTATGTTTATTGGAAGTTATATAACTATTTTTCTTCTTTTAATGGTTAATCTAGCTATTTTAATATTATAAAGTTAGAATCCAAGGTGAGACAAAATCATATGTACTACACAAGGCTTATAATTCTTTATCTCCAAATACTCCTTTTTCTATTTGCATGGTTTGGTTGACCACAGTTTTAGTTCTTTTAATTAGGAACAATTAGAATTTTATAATAGAGTTAGCTGCTTCTTAGCTAATGTCTTTGCAAACTTTTCTTTCTTACATCTCAAACTTCCCTTTATTATCATTTTCTTTCTACCCCAAATAACTCCTTTTAGTGACTTTTAGATTTTAGTTGTGTAAAAAATGTCTTTATTTAATCCTTATTTTTAATGCATACTTTTGCTGGTCTTATAATTCTAGACTCACAGTTAATTTCTCGCCTGTCTTCTGGTTTCCTGCTGTTGCTCTAAGAAGTCAGCAACTGATCTAAATGCCATTCATTTGTATCTTTCTTTGGAACACCAATTTGACAAAGATGGAACCAAATAAATCTCTCCTATACCTCTTTTTCATCTCTTTGTCTTTTTGCTTTTCAATCTGAGGAATTATATTTTTTCATTTTTTTTAATTTCCAGGAATTTTCTTCTGTTTTTTTTATTGTGTTGTATTGTACTGTATTGGGTATTGAACCCAAGAGTGCTTTACCACTGAGCAACATCTCTAGCCCTTTTTATTTTTTATTTTGAGACAGGGTCTTCCTAAATTGCTTATGATGCCATTAAATTGCTGAGGCTGTCCTTGAACCTATGATCCTCTTCCTACCTTGGCCTCCTGAATTGCTGGGATTACAGGTGTGTATCACCATACCCAGCTCTTCTGCTCTTTTTCAAATATTTTTGGTCTTCAAAAAATTTAATCTCTTGTTCCTTGTGCATGTTTCCAAGGTTCTTTTATATATATTTAAGCATGTGGGGCTGGGGATGTAGCTCAGTGTTAGAACATTTGCCTAGCACGTGTGTCCCCCACGGTTCCATACCTAGCAACACTGCATTTATATATATAATTCTGAATGCAGTAATTCTACCACTGTAAGTCCTTGAAGTTTTATTCTGCTGTCTGTTGGATTTACTTGTTGTTTTTCGTGGGTCTGGGTTTCTGTATGATGTTTGTACTTGTGAACTATGACCTCCACATTGTCCTCAAAACATTTCCTTTGAAGATTCTTTGAAGCCTGGATTGAATTTGTGCCCCTCAGAGATGATTTTCTTTCCTTCTAAAATTCACCTGGTTACAACAAACAGGAACAAATTTAAATTTAATTCTTTTGGGGGGGGTACTGGGGATTGAACTCAGGGGCACTCAACCACTGAGCCACATCCCCTGCACTATTTTATTTAGAGACAGGGTCTCACTGAGGTGCTTAGCACCTCGCTGTTGCTGAGGCTGGCTTTGAACTCTCGATTCTCCTGCCTCAGCCTCCCAAGTCACTGGGTTATAGGTGTGGGCCACTGCACCCAGCAAATTTAATTCTTAAGAGCTTTTTAAAAGACATTTAACTGTGACAGTATAAGTACATAAACTCAGGCCCAAGCTAATGAATTCCTGGAAGAAATATTTTTTCTCTCCTTGTCAGCAAATGCAAAGTCAAGAAAATTAAGTTTTATGCATCAGTTTTTAATTTTTTTCACATTCATTGTTCATTTAGAATATAACTTTTGGGTTTCTACTGTATGCTGGTTTTTTCCTATTAGCCTTTTAACCTTTGAACCTGTTTTTCACATTCTGAAGTGTCAGAGAGGCATTTCAAGGAAGTCATGGAATGAACATAGACTTTTAGTGCATGTTTCCCTTCAAGGATTCCTGTTTTCATTGTTAGGGTTGTCTTCTGGGGATTCCTTACATCTGTACCAACTCAGTAATGCATTTTAATATACACATAAACATGTATGTGCATAGGTATTTTAATCAGTTTTTCACTGCTGTGACTAAGTAACCTGACTAGCACAACTGTAGAGGAGGAAGAGTTTATTTGAGGGCTTATGGCTTCAGAGGCCTCAATCCATAGACAGCTGGCTCCATTCCTCCAGGCTTAAGCTGAGGCTGAACATCATGGCAGAGAGTGCAGCAGAGGAAAGCAGCTCACAAGGTGATTAGGAAGCAGAGAGAGAGAGAGTCCATTCACCAGATACAAATATATACCCAAGGCCACACCCCAGTTCCCACCACCTCCAGCCATAGCCCACCACTTCAATTACCACTCAGTTAATCTTTATCAGAAGATTAAGTCACTGATTGGGTTAAGACTCTTACAACCCAATCATTTCTCCTCTGAACCTTCTTACACTGTCTCACATGTGAGCTTTATTGGGACACCTCACATCCAAACCATAACAATAGGTAATGTGCATATATATCATATGCATCCAAATCTTATCAAGCATTTTAGTTGCCTTGATCATGAGCATCATTAATATGTGTAGATTATATATATGTATATATAATCATATGTATATATATAATCATATTATATATATATAACTGTTATCATGAAGTCTTTTAGATTTTTAATTATGATATTAAATGCATGTCTCATACTATCTTTGACACATTATCATTAAATTTGTGCCTAAAGATACCTAACAGAGATTTTTCTGGATGTGTGTATTTTAAACCTTGGATTAGTTAAAATAGAAAACTGGTATATATGATTAAATAATAAAATTGGTCTTTCAAATTGTGGTCACTTTTTTAAAAGATAAAAATGCAAAGAACCTCTGTTCCATTGTTACAAGCCAAAGGTTGACTTTTGTATTTAAACTTCATGCTGCTTTGGATTAAAAACATCTATTACTGTCTAAACCAGCAGGAATTTTAGAGTTTGACTAAGACTAAGACAGTGTATGTAAATAACAGATGGTAGTATTCAGTCCATTATTTGGTAGATTGACATAAAACAAAAATGATCAAACTTTCAATGTTTCAAAGACATGCTTGTGGCAGGAGAGAGTTTTAAAAGCTATTGGGTAACATAAATATTTGTCACATTCTGCTTTGGGTTCATATAGTTGTGTGCACACAGTGTACAAATGACTGAAGTAACCTGATTATTTTATCAAGCATGTAGCATTTGAAGAATCTTAATCTCATTTTGATGTGCATTTTGTAACTTGGACTAAAGCTATGTATTAGAAGGAAAAATATTACTGCAGTTTTTTCTCAAGTTAATATACAACTGGCACATAATGCATAAGCAGGAATGTAAAGGTGATATTTGCAAGGCTTCATGCTATAAGGAAAATGTGGACTTCTGCCCATGTCATTAGACAGCCTGGTAGTACTTTCATCTCACTGATGACTACATCTTTGATGTCTCTGAGAAAAATTCATGTGTATCATTGCAGGCAAAATGTGGATTTAGTAGGTGTGCCAGCCTTGAGTCATCTCATAGACTGGCTATTGTCTTTTCCATTTGCACAACTTTCACAGCATGTGCCAGTTATGATGCCAAAAATAAAAAACCAAGCAAGGAAAGCATTAGACCCATAGATCCATTCCAAGTGCAAAATTCCAATTATCAAAGCGTAAACACAAGCCTTTTATTAAAAACTCCACTTTGATCTGCACCATAATTGGCACACTTTCTACTAAATGACACTGGCAATTTAGTGTTGCCTTTCTATTTTATTTTTCCTTTACAAACAGTAACACAATAGCATGATAGCATGATGCTGTGTTTTCTAGAGATCGGGTGAGAGCCATGGACCCACCTCAGACTTGGCTTCCCTACAATTTAGGGGTGTAGGAATCAGCCTTTGTGCCACAGATGTTTCTCAAGACCAGCTACTTTCATCACCAACCCACAAGATACATCTTAATGATTCTGCAGTTGCCAAAATTGGGAGCTACCCATAATTCTCTGTTAGGGGTGTGTTGAACAAAACAGACTGTGGTGTGTAAAATTAATTTGGTCCCAGGACTCAAAATAATACTGAAAATATGATGTCAAAAATAATAGTGAGTTTATGATATTTTAAATTTGATAGTAAAATGAGTTCTGAATATAGAACATAAACAGTTAATGTTTTGAGGTAACAGAATATTAACTATAATATTCTCACACACACACTCCCCCACACACATACATACTCAATATCAAAGATAAAACTCAAGTGTTTTCTGAACTAGGTTGGTTATCTGGGGAAATGTGTTCAGGCAGAGAAATAAATATGCTCTTCCAGGCCAAGTTTCTGGAAAAAGTATAGATTCTTTTGCCAGCAAATCAAACTTCTAAAATTCCATGTAGAGATGTTGTATCATGTGGTCTGCACAGCTACCCTATAAAGTCATTATGAATATTCTCATTTCATGGAAAAGGAGCTTTAGCCATATAGGATCTGAAAAACCTTCTCCAGCAAGTCACAAAAATGAGGTGTTGGAGCCATTAATTTAACTAAATGAAGCAACCAATGCTAGGATTTATTCTTGGTTTCATGTGCTTATTTGATAAGTCTCTACTTGATGGAATTTCAGATAGTCAAAATGATAATAAGTGGGATCTGAAATTTTGTTCTATGGCAGGGGGGAAAAAGCAATAAAAATTAGAGAAGGCAGTTATATAGAAGGAATTTCTTAATTTAGGGGAGAAACTTGAGCATGACATCATCCCCAAAAGTCTGCTTCCCTGAAAAAGATAGCATCCATTTTTATTTAGTTCTGCTTCTTATATAAGGATGTTCAAGTACTCACGAATGCCTTCTAGAGGCCACACCCTGAGCTAAGTGATGTGATGGAGTGTAAAAGACAGGTAATAGTCCTCACCTTATGGAGCTTATAAACCTGGAGAACTAATAGGCCTGAAACATGTAAGGTGACCGAGAAGGCTGCCTACAAATGCAGATGTTTTGTGAGAGTCTGTGGGCAGCTGGCATTGGGATGGCACAGGGCAAAAAAGATCCCTGTAGGGGGCTAGACGTGGGGACAGTTCCAGGCAGATGAGAGGCATGCATGACAACTCTGAAATGACCATTCAGGGGATACTGGACGGATGCAGGTTATGACTGGAGCAGAGAGGGCAAAGTAGAGAAAGATGTGAGTGAAACTTTGCAGGTGGGTGAGGCCCGAGTGGACCCTTGCAGGTTAAAGATGCTGAACTTCATCCTGTTAGCTGTCAGAAGCCCGTGAAGGATTTTATGCAGGACAATGACAGCATCCATTTTTATTTAGTTCAGAATGGAAACTGGATTGGTGGGGAGACCAGGTAAGTGGCTAATGCAGGGGACAAAAAGGGAAATGCTGATGGCTTGGAGGAGGGCAGCAGAAGAGGTAGATTAAGAGACTTTGGAAGGTGCACTTTGCAGATGTGACAAAGGGCTCCATATGGAGAGAGAAGGATGGTAGAAGAGAGAACTCCCAACCGGGTGCTATGGAGTACCCCAGTAATCCCAGTGACTTGGAGGCTGAGGCAGGAGGATCACAAGTTCAAAGCCAGCCTCAGCAACTCAGCAAAGCTCTAAGCAACTTAGTGAGACCTGTCTCAAAATAAAAGATAAAAAAGACTGGGGATGTGGCTCAGTGGTACAACACCCCTGGGTTACTGGATAATCCCCAGTACCCCCAAAATAAATAAATAAATAAAGAGAAAGCTCCAGATTTTACATATTTTATGGATTCTTTCCCTCTACATGTTTAAACCCTGCAAATACTTGTTAGTTCACAGCTCTTTCCACAATGACCATCGTCAGTGGGGACGAGAGGCCTGCCAATGGGAGACTGGTGGGAACGTGAGCCTATGAGTCAAGGGTAACTTGGATCTCTTTAAAAATAACACTACATTCTCTCTTTTCTTTCTCCTTGGGAATAAAAATAGGACAACTCACTGTGAAAGAACCCCAATTCCTCGATTTTGAAGTCAGAAATGAAATGCAACTCATCATTGTAGCTGAAAGTGGCGGGCACAGAGCCTACAGCAAAGTCGCAGTCTTGATACAGGATGTGAATGACAACTCGCCATGCTTTGGGCAAAGGTTTTATCAAGTTTCAGTGTCCGAAGGCCAGCCCTACAACACTCACATCATACAGGTGAACAGAAGTGTGTGTGTGTGTGTGCACTTGTGTGTATTAATTATTATCAGTGTACAACAGAATGTCAAAGGCTTCTGTCCAACACATTAATTAAAATGTAAATGTCCCACTGGGAGTGGAGGTGCATGCCCATAATCCTAGAGGCTCTGGAGGCTGAGGCAGGAGGGTCACCAGTTCAAAGCCAGCCTCAGCAACTCAGCAAGGCCCTAAGCAACTTAGTGAGACCCTGTCTCTAAATAAAATATAAGAAGGCCTATGGATGTGGCTCAGTTTTTATGCACTCCTAGGTTCAATCCTCAATACAAAAAAAACAAAACAAAACAAATGTCTCCAGGTACAGCATTTAAGGGTTGAATGAAACCTTAGATTGAATGAAATCTGAAATTTCTACATTCACTCTTGTTCCTCTTTATTCATTCAATGCTCCATTGCTGCCCACCTGGTTTCTCTAGGGACTCTAACACTGCAGGCACTAGAGGGACACTGCAGGATCACAAAAAAAAAAAAAAAAAAAATGACTAGACTTTCAAATATGTACAGTTTAGGGGGGAGGTTGGAAATATAAGTATAAAATCAAATGTTATACAATTAATGTCATAATAGGATCTTGCAATGAGTGTCATGAGAGCAAACAGGAGTGATTCACAGTCTCCTCTTGGAGGGAAATGTGACACTTCACAGAGGACTGATCTTTGCATCAGATCTTACAGGTGAACAGGCAGGTGGACAGATCCTCTGTGTTTCAAGACTCACCTCATCTCACTGATGAGCCCCTAACAGTAAGAGAATCTTCACTGTCTAGTGTTCTAGCTCTAAGCCTCACCCATTCTGGGTAGTGTTTCTTCTTGCTTCAGGACTAGTGCCCATTTTTTCCTTTCCCTTCACCATTAAACTACATTTTGTAGTCAAGAAGCTGGGCATCAAAGGATCTGCAACTTCCTGCGAATCCGCAAAGAAAATCAGCATAAAACCATCTTCCTGGTAAAGATAGCCATAGAATGGGCGTTGCCTTTGGCCCCTGGAACGCTGCTGGTGTGACCAGCACCTCATACTTATCACATCATGGGTTTCTTCTCTGGGCTACATATTTATATGGAATGCTAGCATTTTCAGGACAAGATCTCCAATACTTCTTTACATATAGTCACCTGAATATATAGAAAGACGCCTTCTTTTTACTTGAAGTGCAGTTCCTGATGCACACGCGCTCCTCTGTTGTGGGGGACCAGTTGAGTCGCAGCTCTGCTGGAGGTTCAGCTTCGTGCCCCTCAGTGCCACACACACACAATCCGGGATCCTCGTGTCTATTATTGCAGATTTATTTGGTATTAGAGCAGCCTGTTTTCTCCAGTCACCAACCTGGTCCACAAGTGCTGTCTTTACTCTGATTTCAGCCAACACTGGGATGTTTAAGAAAGTGATGGTGGCGATGGCAGATCCTTTTGCAAGGAGGATTTCTGCATGGAGGCCTGTGGCGTTGCCCTTCTCTGTCCCCCATGCTAATCTGGGTAGGGCCAGACTGCTCCCTGTGGAGTAAGTGCTCCTGAGGATGCCTTCAAAGCCCAGGTGCCTAAATCAGGGAGAATCGGGTTCACCAGTGCCTCAGGTTATTGCAGACTTCTAGAAGGTTGAGTCAGGGATAGACATGATGCATTTTGTTCTTCCCATTTTTAGATTGCTTAGTTCCTAGGAAGCTAGCACTGCCATTCTCTGTCCTGCTAGAAAGAGGTTATACCAGGCTACTTCCTGGGTTTTGCTACCTAACTGTGCACAGGCCATTTTGTCTGCAATTCTAGAAACTTCCCTTGAGGATCTGCTCCTCCTTGCTGGGGTGCAGACTTGGCAGTTGTATCAAAGACTGACTAACCTCCCACCCTGCCCCACCAGAGGTGCTGTGCATTGCCTTAGTCTCAGTCAGACGGACTTTCTCTTGGAATTTGAAGGGACATCAAGACAGACAGAGCAGAGCTGATTCATCTTGATGGCAACAACCCGAGGAAGCTGTGCTGTAGATCCCCAGAGTTGCTCAGCTTCTTGTTCACCAGGTAGTTATCTTGCCGATGCATACCTTTCTGAAGTTAGCCGTGGTGCACACGTGTTACCAGCATCCTAAAACACTGTTCCATGTCCTTACAAGGCCCACCTTCTATACCACTTCTAAGTATACACCTCAAGGGACGTGATGGGCTGTATTTGTCCCCAGTTGGAGACTAGTTTCTCTTCCTGGTGATCCCAAAGGACACCATGTATTGATGCCTTTCTGTACCCCATAATTGGCTTGTGCACCCTCCTGATGAGGTCCTGAATGCTTCACTAGGGCCACTAAGATCTGGTGGCAGTGGGAAGGATGGATCAAGAGAGTAAGGATTAGCAGCAAAATCCCACTGCGACATCCAAATAACAGCCCAGGAGAGAGAAGACAATGGACATAAGCTAAGGCTGAGGGGCACAGAGTATGTAGAATTTTTTTTATTAATAAATCAGAAACTTATTCTTAAATAAGATATTCAATCCATTGATATAATTGATTCAGTGATTAAAATTTAATTACACAGTACATCTCCATGGAGAATGAGGCCAAACATTTTTTCCAGCTTCAGTACTACTTTTCTAACTCATCAAATCAAGTGATCGGAATCTCAATTTATTAGCACTAAACCTAGGCTGTATCTTTTTTAAAGATCCCTTTAAGTTAAAACTTGAATCAAACATAAAAAATCTGCACATGGCTTATTTTATAGGTGATGTTGTTTAAACAGGAGGATAAAACAGCAAATGAAAATTATTTTTCACCATATGAAGGTTTCCTGTAACACTTATTTCCTTTTCTGGTGCCAGCCTGAATCCATATACAGCTCTGGAAATCTTCTATTCAAGCAAATTAGATATTTTTTCCAGCAATTTTGCCTATTGCACAAAATTATAGCTCAAGAACATGTGAAAGTTATTTGGAAATCCTTTGGATGAGTATGCAGAAAATTTCATTTCCCTCATCACGCACTTTATTATAAAGTTAAATGTAAGCTTCAGGCATTGTTTTTTATTTTTTTGAATGTTTGTAATGGTGGTTTTTAAAATGCATTAACAACCTGTGATTCCTTTATAATGCATTTCTCTGAAAAGCAAGCTTATCCCATATTGCAGATTAAATCCTATCTAATGGAAGAGTCGGTTCCTCATAGGTTTTTGCTACTGACCTGGACAGTGGGTTAAATGGCCTTATTGAGTATTCCATTCTCTCGGGCAACCAAGAAGAAGCCTTCCAGATTGATGCTCTGAGCGGGGTGATAACAGCAAATTCGATTCTGGATTACGAGGCCACCAGCTCCTACAGGTTTGTCCAGGATTCATGTACATTTGATCCACTTTTCTGCTTGGTGTCTAGTAGAGTCATTGCTTGGGTCTCAACATCCTGTATATGGGAGCTTAACTGTAAAATGTGTTTTCTTTTGATCCCGTTTATGGTTACCTTTTTTGACATGTAAAAATAGTCTTAGAAATAATTTTGTATATGGAAAAAGGAATGAGACCTGATCTAAGATTTTAGGAATTTGTGATGCTGTTAAATGTAGAGAGAGATTAAAAAAATGTTTGTGACATGCCTTCTGAACCATAGCACCCTCTGCAAATGTTTACTGTTCTTATTTTTAAAACAGTGAAGACGGAATGAAAAATTCTTTATTCTTATTTTGTGCACAAAAGTACAATGTTGTCATCAGGGTTCTTGTGGCAGTACTATGTCCTAACTGAAATAATAGAAATGATCTTATTAAAAGCATATGTTCAAAGTTAAACTGCTTTTGTCTGGTATGCCAGCCTCATCCAAAACACTATACAGGAGAGAGTAATAGTGTCACAGATCTTCTGTGTATTTTTAACAGTCAGTGCTACAAAAGTCTAGAGTTACATGCAGAGATATTTGTGGCATCTCAGTCTGTAAAAGCAAAAGACTCTTAGGAACCACCACAAGGAGGTACTGCAAAGGACAATGGCATGACCCTTCCATGATACACCAAGAAACTCACTTTAAAAAAGAAAGGGGTGTGTCTGTGTTTGCTGCTGAGGGGAGAAAGCTCTAGAACATGTGGTGTGTAGTGCTTACACGGTGTGACTCTGAGGAAAAGCTCGCGTATGTACTTGGGAAGCTTCTGGTAGGTGCTGTTAACCTTGTTTGTCTTTGGCTAATTGGGTGAATGTGTTGGGGTTAAAGAGACTTGGCTTTCTTGTTGTACATTCCAGTGTGCTTTATATTTGTTTAACCATTTTATGTTTTTTCAAGAGCATTTGCATACACACTACAGCAGTGCCCCTTTATCGTGGGAGATGTAAGACTGCCAGAGGAAGCCTGAAACCCCATGAAGTAGTGAACCCTATATATGTTGTATTTTTTCCTATATTCCCTGCAGCATTACCACATGGTACCAGAGTTAATCTGTTCTGCCATGTTTTATGCTCTGGGGCCTCCTTGGCATCACTACTCTTACACTTTGGAGATATTATTAAGTAAAACAGGGTTATTGAACACATTCACTATAATACCACAACAGGCAATCTGATAATCAAGTGGTACTAAATGACTAACAGGTGGGTAGTGTATACAGTGCGGATACACTGAACTAAGAAATGATTCATGCCCAAGCAGGACAGAGCAGGACAATGTAAGTTTTCATCACACTATCCAGAATAGCATACAATTTAAAAATAATGAATTTTTTATTACCAGAATTTCCATTTAATATTTTTGGGCAACAGTTGACTTGGGAAATTGAAACTGGGAAGTAATACCACAGGTAAGGGAGGGCAGACACCATTTTATTTCATTTAATCCTTACAGCTACCTCACAAGGAAGTTCAGGTTGGCATTTCATATTTACTGATCAGGCAACAGAGATACACTAGCTTGTTCAGGGTCACAGACTATTTAAGGATCAAACTTGGACTTGCACTCAGCTATTCTGATTCTGAGTCACACTATTACCATACAAACTACAGAGCAGACCTCTTACTCAGAGAAAAAGAGATATAAAAATGGCTGGGTCAATATTCTCCTATACCAGACTTCTTTCATGTTTTATGAGGAAAGTGGAATATATCAATGGTAATAAACAATGAGAACTGATTAAAATAGAATAGGTTCCTGGATGGATTGAAATAATTAGCAACTAGAAACCTTCCAAAGCATTTCATTTCCAAGAGTTTAATCAAGTTCTTTTTCATTTAATATATTTCAAAATATTATTTCCAAAGTACTTTTTAAAGTTTAAGACCTTGCCATGTATTAATTATTAGGAAATTTTTAAGTAATATTTTAGTGTAATCAATTTTTATGACACAATGTGTCAATATTTAAAAACCTATTTCCACCACATTGTTTCTTTAGTAATTTGAGCATGAAGTATTTTTGCCCTCTCTGTGGATGACTGTAGGTAAATCTCGGTGCTAGTTGAGTGATTGCAAATCAGAGATGATTGACAGTGCTGTGTTGCAGGAGCTAAGCATTTCCCAGTTATAATTGACTTTTCTGTTATAGTGTTCCTCTTATTCAGTGAAGTCTAATTAACAATTAAATCTAACTTCTTTCAACTTTTTCCTATTTGCGTCATGGTTTCTATGTTCCCAAGATCTAAATTGGTCCCAATATTTTAAAATGGATTTCTCCAAATCCCCATGAAGAAGTTAACTCAAGACTGGGAAAAGTGAAAACAAAGAGAAGTTGAAACCTATCCACCCCTGCCACACACACACACACACACACACACACACACACTCCACAGACACATGCATGCCCACGCTCACACATCATCTCCAGCATTACTAAAGCAATAAAGTATTTTAAGCTTCTTGCCTCTCCGGGTTCTCCTCTAACCCACTCCCAACCCCTGCCTGCCCTCTGGCTTCCATTTTTCTTTTTTTGAGCTTATGTGGTGATAGGGATTGAACCCAGGCCCTTGTGCCTACTAGGCGAGCCCTCTGTCCCTGAGCTACATACTGAGTATGTAGCAATGAAAATTATAGGATGATTTTCCTCTCGTCTGCTATACCCTGGGTGAATGCTTTGGAAGTGCTTTCATTTCGTTTTCAACTTTACTTTTAAAGTACTGCTATTTTGTCTCATTGAGGAAAATATTCCTAATCCCAAAACTTGGTTTTAAAATATACATTGAGGGAATAAAAGGACATAGTGTCAGTTATGATTTTACTAAGCATAAATAAATTAAATAATTTTAGTTTTCATATGAGGGCACATTTGATAAAACTCAGTGGGAAGGTGACAAATTATCAAATAGGCGTTAAGCTTTGTCTGATTGATTTATCTAAATTTATAAAAACTGTCTACCAGAAAAAAAGCCAAAGATACAAAGACAAATCAGTCCTTGTTCTCAGGGAGATTCATATTGGGGTCCTAGTAAAACCCCATGACAGCATATTAATAATCACAACAGTAGCCATTTATGGAGATCCTGCTTTACATTTATTATCTAATTGAATTCTTATAGCATGATGTACAAAATGAAGGTCGTAAAATTCAGGTAAAGTTGCTTGGCCAAAAATAAAACTAGTAAATGATAAAATGTGAAAGCAGCCCATGAGAATGGTCATAGTAGAGCTTCCTAGAACAAAAAATTAAAGTTTGAAATAATGTTAAAAAATAAGCCCCAGCTCACAACTGTGAAATAGCACAGTTCAGTGTGAATGCCAAAATGAAGTTTGAGTTAATGGTTTCTGCTACTGGACTCATCACTGATATAGACATATCATTGTTTAATTTGGCAATTGGTATTCATATAAGCCTTGTAACATTATAGGGCCCAAATTTTTAATTTTTTGAGGGACTTTAAATAAAAATGAGCAAAAAATCCAAGTCAACTGATTGTTTATTTAGATGTTTAAAAATTCAACTTCTATGGCATAAATATTCAAGATGAAAAAGCAATTGTTTGTCAGAAGCAACGCTCAACTTACAGTACACTCTCCATTTAATATTCACTGTGACTAATGAGAAACACAAGGAAAGCAATTGACTATACAGGGTGAGAAATGGACTGAGGTACTAATGATCTTTTCCAAAATATTCAACTTATAAGCATCAGTGTTGGGAATGGAACCCCAGTTTATGGACAGCCTATGGAAAATGAATGGAAGTCATTTTAGTCAGAAGGTCATGAGGAAGGCATGGATGTACTACAGTATTTTGTATGCTTGGAAATAATGAGCCATGGAATATACCTGAGAATCAACTGAGTGTGTAGTAACCACAGAGGTTGGCAGGCTGCAGGTAAATTTTGAATGATTTTATATCACATATAATGAAAATTGTACTTTATTCTGTGGCCATAGAAAAGCATGAGCAGTTGAATGAATGTTCTCTCTTTATTTTGTAAAGCTATCTAGTGATGGATGACAGAAAACTTGCTTCAGGAAGACAAGGCAGGCAAGTTAGGCAGCATCTAATAAAGATCTGTTACCCAGATGAAGGGACTGTGCTTATTGGTTTTCCTTTATCATAACAAATACCAGAGATAAATGTACTTAGAAAGAGAAAAGGTTTATTTCAACTGAGTTTTGAAGACTTCAGTCTATGATTAGTGGGCCCATTGCTTTTGGGCCTATGATGGTGCAGTAGCTCATGGGAGGGAGCATGTTTTAGAGCAAAATCATTATCTCATGACTAGAAAATGAAATAGGAGGAGAGGGAGGAGCTTGTATCCCACAATGCCCCTTGAGGGAACACTTCCCATTATCTAAAGACCTCCCTCTAGGCCTCATCTTCTAGAGGTTCCACTGCCTCCCAGTAATACCCTGGGCTGTGGAACAATCCTTTAACATGGGCCTTTGGGGGATATTCAGATACAAACAATAGCAGGGACACACTTAAAACTTGATCCAGCTATGGAATCATAGGGACTTGGTGATAATTTTAATTTATTGAATGAAGAAGGAAATAGAAAATGGCTCTGAAATGTCTGCCTACGAAAGACAGGGGAATAGATGAGGATTAAGAGTCAGTGCAAGAGCAAAGGTAAAGATTCCCTTTAGACAGTTGAAAATCGTGATCTGAAACTCAGAAAAGGAATCTTGAGTCAAGATTTTAAGATGAGGTTTATCCAGAGAAAAGGTTTAAAACGGAACACCCTAGGGAGAGCCTGGAAGATGAGCCTGGGAAGTGGTGAGTTATCGCCTGTGAGGATCAGACAGAGAAATAGAAACCAAACTGACAGACTCAGGGGATAGAAAGAGCCAGAAAAAGAAGGTGTCCTGGAAACCAAACAGAGAGTTTGGATTGGGTAAAAGAACAAGACTTCAAACTGTATTGGATTAGAGTTTCTAGAAGCA